ATCTTTCTAATATGTAATAATAAAATTGTTACTTCTTATTAGTCTCTAGATTAGAGAAGTCGCTTGCTTCAAATTTAACCTTTTTACAATTATAATTACAATAATTTTACAATTCCTTAATAAAATAATTGTTTTTAAAAATAAAATTTCATTAATTGAAAAGATAATTTTCGCGATACTTTTTTATAGACCTCGTACATGCGATCTTTCAATAGTGCTACCGTATGAAAATTGTCGAGCTCGTTCTACAAATCCTGCAACAGATTAATACAAATAACTTTGTGTCTGTCTGTAATAGTCAATATGGTTCTTAATAACCTACATTCGTTCATCTTGATATTTAAATAAATTAGTTACCTATTAATGTAGTGTGTAATGGAATCGTCCTTTTAAAACGTTCACCTAACGGCACACAACAATAAAAAAATTACGGTTGCCGATCGTTTTGGGTGATGATTGTTACATAATGTCAAGTCACAATTAAATTTTAGCGGTAAAAATTAACTCAAGAGCATAATGTTATTGTTAATAATATCTTCCCGAATGCCATATGTCAAAGACAAAGATTAACTTGCGATGATCATTCATACAAGCCTAGTACTTATGTACTGCATGACGATACGCTAATAGTAAATAATGATGATAATAATAATATTAAGATAATAGAAATACATAGTCATTGGTGGGTAGGTACCACCGAGTCTCAGAAAACTGTTCAAGTTTATTTGCTCTTTGTTAAAAAAATCGAAAAGTAGGTTTGCAACCCTTAATAATATTTACAAAATTTGAGTTCACTGTCTTTTGTTTTACACGTTTTAAACAAGAGTGCGAGCCATTAAGATTTAAAATCATTATAAAATGTATTTCAAATATGTTTCGCTAAAATTTGGACAGAATTAATGATATAAAACGACAAAATCTTCACGTAAAAATTCTACATTTCTTTGTCGGCATTTTCTCTTTTTCTCTGGCATAATTTGGTGAATGAGTGGAATATTTTTTTTTTCAATCATGTTTCATCATCATCATAAGGTCGTCAGTCCTAAGACTGATAGAACACACACCTCTACTCTTTCCTATTCTGAGCTAATCTTTGCATTTCCCTAAAACTAGAACAATCTATATCCTTAACTATTTGCGAACAGTAATCTAATCTAGGTCTACCTCTACCCCTCCTAATTTCCGTTTCTACCTCTAACACTAGTTATGACCCTTTGCAGCAAATTTAGGTCGTCGAGGATAGAGTCCAACAGCTCCTCAGCAATGTTAATGCGATACTGTTTTTGGTCGAAGTTGAGCAATTTTGGTACGAATTTCGCGGCAACCCGACTCATGTCCAAATCATTGGTAAAAACCAAATGGCAGGAGCCAATCGATGTTTAGGTCTTCAGCAACTTCTCAACAACAGTGATTCGACGATTGGTCAATAGTATTTTCTTCACTTCATCAATGTTTTCGTCTGTTGTTGACGTGTTCGAAGGTACAGCACACTCTGTTGTTGTTTGGGTAAAAGGTACCCGATGTTCTTTTCTCAACCCCTGACAACGTGTTTACGAAATTTCATGCAGATCGGTTCAGTAGTTAAGGCGTGAAAAGCCGATAAACAAACAAACTCGTATTAAACATACATACAATTTAGACACCTTTTTAGAAGTGAGTTGGTTTAATATGAAATATTACTC